GGGCGAGGGGGTGCTGGTGCACTGCTATGAGGGCCGCAGCCGATCCGTCTCGATAGTGCTGGCTTACCTCATGGCCAAGAGGTACGGTGCTGACGTATCTGATGATCAGGAGGTATGGTACAAAGAATATGGTGGTAAAGACGCATTCAGAGGTACGGTGATCTGCAGGCACAGACGAGGGGGTGCTGCTGCACTGCTATGAGGGTGGCAGCCGATCCATGTCCATCGTGCTGGCTTACCTCATGACCAAGAGGTATGATGCAAAGGTACGGCAATAAGTTAACCAGTCAACCAGGCACTCAAGAGGGGGTGCTGGTGCACTGCCATGAGGGCCGCAGCCGATCCGTGTCCATCGTGCTGGCTTACCTCATGACCAAAAGGTGCGTGCGGTGGTGAAGAAGCATCTGCTGGCGTGTCCGTGTGATGAGCTGGTGCACTGCTATGAGGGCCGCAGCCGATCCGTCTCGATCGTGCTCGCTTACCTCATGACCAAGAGGTATGTTCGTGCGTATGGCACGGAGGGTTAGAAGCATTCAGAGGTACGGCGACCAGGATATGAGAGTGCCCCCTTGTGCTACGACGGCCGCAGCCCATCCGTGTCCCCTGAACCCCTCCACCTGCCCCGATCCCCTCTTCCCTGTCCTCATTCCCCCAGGCGCATGCCCCTGGCACCGCATGGGTGGTGGTGCTGCACTCCGCGGCTCGGCCCACCCCCATGTGCCCCCCCAACACCGCCTTCCTCCGCCCGCTGGTCCTCTTGACCAAAAGCTTTTCACTCAACCCCCCTGCTCCCGTGCCCCCCTCCCCCCTGCCTTCTTTCTCCATTCCCCCAGGCGCATGCCCAGTTGACTTTTGAGTCGACTCAAAAGTCAACCCAGGCGCATGCCCCTGGCGGAGGCATGGGTGGTGCTGCACTCCGCCCACCCCCACGCCGCCCCCAACACCGCCTTCCTCCGCCAACTCGTGGCCCTCGACAGACAGCTCTTCCCCCCCCCACCCTCCTGCGCCTCCCTTTCCCATTTTCCCTCTTCCTTTCCCCTTACCATCTCTTTTCCCTAACTCTTCTTCCTCTGTGCCCCCCCCCCTGCGCCCCTTGCCTCCTCCCCCCGCCCCTCGTTCCCCACTCCCCCCTGTCCTTTCCCCCCAGGCGCATGCCCCTGGCGGAGGCATGGGTGGTGCTACATTCCGCCCACCCCCACGCCGCCCCCAACACCGCCTTCCTCCGCCAGCTCGTGGCCCTCGACAGACAGCTCTTCCCCCCTCCCCCTCCTCCCCCTCCGCCTCCTCTTCTCCCTCCTCCCACCGCTGCCCCGACTCCTCCTCCCTGTGACACGCCGGCATATGCCAGTACTGATGCTCCCACCGTCGACACTGCTAACACTGCTACCACTTCCACTGTCACTGCCGCTACTGCTACTGCTGCTACTGCTACTGCTGCTGCTGCTGCTGCTGCAACCCCTTCTGCTACAATTCCTGCAGCACCTACAACCCCCTATACCAGTGTTGATGCTGCTGCTGCTGCTGCTCCTGATGTTTTCACCCCTCCTGCCACCACCGCAACTGCTCCTCCTCTTGCGCCTACCACCCACTCCTCCGGCCCTGCCTCTGCTCCTGCAGCAACTGCACCCTCCTCCTCCCCCTCTGTCTCCCCCGTGCCTCTCGCTCTGCCCTGGTGCCCGAGGGGGCGAGTGAACCGGCCAACAGTGCGCGTGTGTAGCGTGTGCGGAAAGGCAGCGGGGCTTAGTAGCGACTCACTGAGAGCGCACATGAGGAGAATGCACCCTAGAACACCCCTGCCTCCTCTGACATCTGCTTCTTGAAGGGGGGCGTAAGAAACAGTGCGCAGTGGAGTATGTGCCTCCGCCTCTGTCTCTCCCGCGCCTCTCACTCTGCCCTGGTGCCCGAGGGGGAGAGTGCGCCGGCCAACAGTGCGCGTGTGTGGTGTGTGTGGCAAAGCAGCGGGGCTTAGTAGCGACTCCCTAAGAGCGCACATGAGGAGGATGCACCCCAGGACGCCTCTTCCTCCTTTGGAATCTGCGTCTTGAGGGGCCTAAGAGGCAGTGCGGCGCGCATGTGCTGGGTGCGGCAAGGCAGCGGGGCTCATTAGTGACTCGCTGAGAGAGCACATGAGGAGAATGCACTTCAGAACGTGTTTGACACCTCTTGAATCTGCTTCTTGAGGGGCGTAAGCAGTATGTGCCTGTGGCGTGTGTGGCAAGGCAGCGGGGCTTACGGTAGTAGTGACTCACTGAGAGCGCACATGGGAAGAATGCACCCTAGATCGCTTCTTCCCATGCTGGAACCTGCCCAAAGGCATCGAGAGTACCGTATTGCAGTTTCTGCATCTGTAAATAGTTCAGGTTCAGGGTTGTTTGCAACAAGGATTGGACATCTGAATTACCTTTCCTTTTAGTACAGATCACAATGGTGTTGCGGCTTATTGCTTTCAAAAAACAGTATCCCCTCCACAATGTGAATCATCAGGTTCCCAACAAGGGAAGATAAAAATGTTACACACAATATAAATTGAAACATACTGTACTGGAAGCCAAGGGGATACATTATAAAGTATGAATTGAGCTTCTTATTCGGGATTACGGTAGAAATATAGTGGAACATACGGCAGCAGCAGGTAGGATTCAGCATGCATGTAGGAGCTTGCCCCCTTCCCCCCCTTCCTCCCCTATTCCCTCCTTTCCACACAGAAATCCACTCACACCCGCACACACTGCCCTGCCCACACACACCCAAACAAACAGAACATTTACTCATCCCACAACCCCCCCTTTTTCACCTCCTCCCCCCACTTTCCCCACGACTCACCATGCAACTGGTTACCACACGATTTCATTTTTATGAATCATAACGTCCTATGACAAAGGCAGGTTGGTTGGGCCCAAGGGAATAATTTGGCTGCGAGTCAACTCCCTTCCCTATGGTGCCTTCCCTATGGTGCTCTTTCTCCTCGCTCCCTGTTATCTACGGTATCATTTACGAGTCTTGCTCAGCCCA